GTTTTCTCAACTTTCGTGGTTTATTCTCCAGGGAGTATGAGCTGTGTGAATCTATATTTAAATTACTTTTGGTTGCTGTTTTGCCATTTTCCTTTTGTCTCTGCCGATAATGAGGAAATCCCTTGATCCCAATTAAAGAGACATTTAAATCCACACTCGGCTTTCTGCATTGTAATGCCCTTCAGTGAGTTGCAAAGTAAATGTGAAGGGTTAAAGATGTCTAACAGGATGAAAAATGCTTATTTTCCCTTGTAAAAGGAATAATATCAAAACACAACAATAGAAAAGAGTTCTTTGATATAACCGTTCAACTCTTTACCTTTTTTGTGATGCAGATCAGAAAGCAAAACGACTGATCTAGAGGAGTGTTTTACACCTGCAGCTATAAATAATCCTCATGTGATCATTCGAGTACTGCTACAAACAGATGGGGTTTGTCATCAAGGTGTGAAGGAGTGTCAGCTGAGTTGTTCCCAGTGCTGCCTTCACTGTGCCTCCTCTGCTCTTTAGAGAGGGCCCAGTTGTCCCCAGTACAGTGACCTATAGGCTGAAACGGGACCAAGAGTTCAGTGGACTGGCCATCTGTGTGGTGCTTTCACTTTTAGCTCATTTGAATCTCATCCATCCGCCTGCTTCTCAATCTTCCGCTGCAGCAGCAGACAGCTGTTTGGGTCGCATTTTCATGTGAATCCTATGAATTTTAATGGCAGTGACAGGGCGGTAACAATAGGCTGGTTACATAAGCACGGCAGTTTGTGCTCGTGGCCAAGACTGTACTGCTGTCAGGACTCATCGCGCCAGCTCCAATTTACCATCCTGCCATGGCTGCACAAGACGGGCCTTTTGCAGAAGCCAACCCTGCAAAAAAAAAAAAAAAAAAATCCTAAAGTAGCTCTGCTATTGGTGAAAATTACAGCTCATTAGGCAATTGGCGGAGGATTTCTAGATGTCATCTGACTGCCAGAAGTCACCACCAGGAGGCATCCTACAGTCTGAGATCCCAAGGGAGCTGAAAAGGAGCAGCGCAGAGCTTTCAGCTCAGATTTAATTGCAGTGCTGAAGGAGGCACTCAAGATATCAAACGAGAGATTTTCTCAATCCATGTCAAAGGTCAGAAGCAGCTGCATCCTTTAATGACGTTTGGATTCGTAATGAGACACCATTTGCTGTCGCAGCTCATCTGCCTCCACCTCATTATACCCTATTTGGTTTTTTTTCTTTAATATTACAGTAAACTATTGTGCGATTATTAAAGTATATTTTAAAATGTAAAGCCCAGCTTGAAGTGTCACAGTGACAGGAGCTTGTGGTTATAGCAGTGACGGTTAATGCACTGCTCTCACATCTGGAAGCCTCAGTCTTTGGTTCACACTTAAGTAATCCTGACAACCGCACAGCTCCTCGTTCTTAGCAGGCACAAGCACGGGGGTTGATGTGTTAATCAGCTTTCGATAAGTTATGGATCTGTGCTACTGGCAGCAGCCAGGCACAACTCTACTGACAGTGTAATCTGATTACACCAACACAGTTTTTGGGAGGGAAGGATGAGGAAGATGCTCAGGGCTCTGCACATGTTTTTGTGCAGTTGGCATGTGCGTTGTGTGGTCCCTCCCCCACACGTCAAGCTGGACCTGACAGACTTACATGCGTGACAGAATGAGGGTGAGGTGGGGGGTGTAACTTCACATACAGGCAGCACATAAACATTAAGCTTGTATCATGTGCTGTTTATGGGTTTCACGATGGAAGGGTTCTTCAAGCCCCCGGTTCGGTTGCATAGCTTGGATTACTCTGCAGTTTTTTAATGAGTACTTTCGCAGGGCCTGTATGCAGATGGGCCACCTCCGCTGTAGTTAACCTTTAATACCCTGAAGCAGCTGGAGGTTGCAAAATTTGCACTTCAGTAGGCTACACCATGACAGAAGTGAGTCATCGGACTTTTCCCCTGCCAAACACATGACATTACTTTAATTAAAAAAAAAAAAACAAGCTAAACTTGGTCTGAACCAGATGTTAATGATGCAGGTGTGTTTTGTTAACTTTGGAGTGAGCCAGGCTAAATTGAAGTAGCTGACTGATGCCTTAGGCTTTGTATTGGCACCCAGACATGACTGCTGTACAATTTTCTCATCTTAACTCTCAGCAAGAAAGTGTCTTAACCTAAATGTTGAACTGTTCCATTAAAGATTGTTGTCAGTGATGCAGCAGACTGTAGAGGGGGGAAAACATTTGGATGCCCCTTAATTACTGACTCTAGGACTCAAGGGGGTTTATTGTGCAGCTCAAGCACTGTCACCAAGTGTGGGAGTTCTTTATTTTCACACTGTTTTAGTGACAAGGAGCGGGCATTGAGCTGACAGCTGATGAAGGAAATGATATTGACATTATCAGGCCAACATGTGGCTGGCTGTGTCAAATGTGGCCTCAGTGACAGAAATCTTTTCACATGGACACATCCCTTGGTCACATCACATGTCTTTTTCTGTCTGGCTTTGTGCCCCTCACCACTTCGCTAAAAAGCCTAAAAACACGCTGCTTCCTGCTGCAATTAGCTTCTATTTAGGGACTGACAAGGATGTTAACATTTCAAACACTGATAGCACTTTTCTGTCCTTGTGTGTGATGCTGTATTCTGGACCTTGTTCTGTATCACTGCAGAGTAGGGTCACGGTTGTTTTTAGCAGTCCCCTCTTGGCCATATGCAACATATGTTCTTTACTCCACTGCATGCTCTGTTTGCTGTGAGATCAGCAGTCATGTCTGCATTGTAAATGTTGACATTCTTCTTTGCATCTTTCGGTTTGTGTTAAGTGTGGCACTGAAGCTTCATTTAACTCTCAGTCACATCAAGAGCTCATTGAATTATTCGTGTCTGAGTGCAGCAGGCATGACATCAGAAACGGAACTACTCATGAGCACAGCCAGCGAAAGCTCATGTACACCATGACAGAAGGGAGCGTGATCTCAGAGAGTGTCATCAGGACATCCTCTGCTGAAAAGGGAGCTCTTTAGCTATGAATTAACCCAGGCATAAAAAGAATTTGGTACAGAACGATGAGCAGACACATCAATTAAGCACTTTAATCTTTAGTTTTATGTTTATTTTCCCATCAATTTGAAATGTATATTAATAGATATCCATGAGTGTTCATTGGCCTCTATGTAAGATGTAATGGTTTTTGGTAAAAGATCCCATTCAAAAACATTTTTGATACTATATGGGTGGAAAAATTCACAGTTCTTGTTCTGTGTTTAAAAACACTCCATCAGTGTGTGTTGCAATGGTAGATACCTTTATAAAAGTACCATAAGTTACAGGTCCAAAGCACAAAGGGGTCCAAATCTTGCATATTTTAATTCACATTACTTATTTTTCTAGCACTATGATGCTCCATAATTTCAGTAGTATTCTTTAAAAAACATCATAATTTTTTTTATGAGGATCATTATCACGGGGCGTACTTTCATGTGAAAAAGAGTTTTAACAGGGCTCTATGCAGACCTGTGAAAAATTAAGCACACCCTTGCTGAATTAAGAGGGTAAAGAAGCAGTCAGGCAGTGCTAATCAAATGCACTTGATTAATTAATTATTAGCAAGTGTGATCACCTTTTTGGCAATTTGCTGGTCTGGCTCATTCCGGTGTGTGCTTAAAGAGTGGCACGGGGATGGACATCCCAGCAAATTCACCATAAGATAAAACTGAGCAAAGCACAAAGAAGTATCGGGAGAAGTGCAGGGTTCAGTATGAGCACGGCAGTGGAGGGGTGATAATTTATGCATGATTTCAACCACAGGACCTGGCCACCTTGAGCAGAATTTTGGTCCCAGGCTAATTTTTCTAGTGACAAATCTTGTCCACATAATGACACAAAATCAATATATTCAAACTTAAATATTATGAATATAATAGAAACAGCATTGATGATTACCTTTTAACTGATCAGGCAGCTTTAAGTCCTTTAAACAGTCGGATGCAATAAAAATGTAGTGAAAAGCTGGCTATCAAGGAGGGGCAGCAGATGAGGCACATAAGGCTCATAGTCTCAATCCATACTGGCAGGAATTGACAGTAATCTCTGCCATGTTCCTTATCTTAGCATAGAGTTTTGGGCTGATATGAACATCTTTATTTGGATAGTAATGATAGAGGTCCAATATAAGAGTCTGAATCTTAGTGTGACAGGCTGTTCAGTCGTTGTTATAGTTTTGTCAGTTGAAAACCCCTAAAATGTCAACCTGCCGGTGGTGCTAGAGGGAAAGTCAGGATTTTAACCAGGATTAATTCCACTTCCCCGGAACTGTCCATCCAGTGGTTGCTGAGATATTTCAGTTTGGACCAAAGTGCATCTAAGACTGACAGCGACATTCACAGAGCCACGCTTCTTCTATCATAGTGATGCAAAAGACATGAGGTACAAGTGCCGTCCAGATCACAGTTTCACAGTAGACTCTGATATCATATTTATAAAGTCATCGGTTCCAAAGCATCCAGACTCTGATCTTTATTTTTTCAGCTTATAATGCAGCCTGGATGAAGGGGGTTTGAGTCCCGGTGCTGTCCTGCTGCTAATCATAGCTCAGGCTGTGGGCCACATGATGTTCTGGGGAGCTTGGTGTATTGGGACAGATAACGTGCAGGATCTGGGTCCAAC